TTATGCTTCTCTTTTAAAGGCCAACATTCAGCGCCATAGAGCATTGCAGGTCTCACCACCGTCTTATTAAATTTTCCTTTCAGTCTTAGCGGTACTTTTCTATCACACAAAAGGCCCGAAGCATTCCTCCACTTCAACCAACCAACTTGAATTCTACTCTACACATCCCCATCTATATCACCATCGCTTTGGACAACGGACCCAAGATATCTAAATCGTTCACACCTTTTAATAATTTGATCACCCAAAGTCACACTTCTGTCACTAGAGTTATTACTACTAAAATTACATTCCATGTATTCAGTTTTAGTTCTACTTAAACGAAGGCCTTTAAATGATACATCGATTTTATCATTCATGTACAAAATTCTCAAATTTATCTCAATTTGTGTATTGCCAACTCGTGTGCAATATCCAAGTAACATGCGTTTCATTCCTAAATAATTTTGATGTCCTGGACGTTCTCATGTTGTCCGTTCTGAGATTGGACACTGTTCAAGCAACTTTGGTGGATGCAATGGCAATTCAAGCTTAAATTCTGTACAACACCACTTTCTCACTCTCCCTTTTCCCTTAATTTCTCCACCTTACTCACACCGATAATATTTAGGTGGTTTTGGTTGTAATTGATATCTCAAATCAGTTTTCATGTGATGTCTTGTTAAACAATCATCTCTACTTTTAATTTTGATTGGATCCGGCTCGCACTGCATTAAGCGCATATAGATGAAGAACAATAACAGTGATTCCTTTGTCTAGCAACTTGCATTGAAGTTTTGCACCTTATTTTTTGTGTTTTGTGCATTGTTATCAGTTGAATGCACATTTGCCAAACCCCTCTTATTCTCAAGAGTCTACTGGTATGAGAAATTGTTAAAGAATATTTATTTGATTTTTCTATTAGCTTTCCTTTTATTTTTTATTCTAGAGAAATTTACATATTCCTATGTATTTACATACCTGATGCCTAAAGTTAGATATTTACATTTATAACACTCGTGTCATAAACCCATGCATGAATATGTGTTTTTCACTTTTAAAATGTCAATAATAGTGTTACTTTTTATGTAATAATAATGCTATGCATGTAAATATGAAAGTTTAAGTTTTAGTGACATAAATAGATAAGAATTGTGCGGTACGTTTGTAAATGCCTCTTTCTTTTAATTCTATGAAAAAGAACCATAATGACTCAGATTTTTCTCCTGATGGCCTTTTGCACTTTGTAAAATGAGCTAGTTTTCGCATTGATCATATATCATCAATTATTTCAAAGCTTTTGCTTGGCTGCTGTTTTTCAGGTTCAAGCAGGATCAAAAACTGTTCTAGCCATTGGCCCGGGTATGCTTCTTCAAATTCATTTTTTCCTTAATGACATTTTATGATAAATAAAAATGTTATGAATTTGTTGAATCCTAAATTGTTTTTCCATAAATGCGCTCCGAGAGTTAGAGTAGAGAGAGAAAGAGAGAGAGAGAGAGAGAGAGAGAGTGTGTGTGTGTTTTGGTCTTCATTTAAGTCTTGACCGTCTACTTATAGAATTTTCAAAATATAGTTACATAAAAAGGAGGGAATAGTTATTATAACTGCCCCTATAACTAAATCGTCATATTCGTCGAATGAAAATTACATTATAATACAAAGAAAATATAAAGTTTGTTGATCGCCAGTGCTTCGGGGTTGATCAGTAATTTCGACCGACCATGTACATCTTATCGCTTCAATCGAGGGATCTATTCGATCGATTAAAGTCATCCGATCACTCAGTCGAAGTCGCTCAGTTGAAGGTCAGTGGGTTGATTTTGTCGCGTGTTTGATCGACCACTTGACAGGTCTACCTTGCTCTTTTATAAAGGATTTCAGTCGCCTAAAACTCCATCGTAGCCGCTCGATCCCTTTGAGATTCATGTTCGCATTTTTGCTATGTACATATTAGTTTTCCAACTTTTCTACTTCTTGATGACGACAACTATGATAATGACCGAAAAATCATTAAATAATAAATGACTCTGCCGACGAAGAAATTAATCCAATAATTAATTCTCCCTTAAATTTTGTTTCTGATGAGCCCTATAAATCGGGCATGAAGGCTTGCGATGTATTCATCATTCAAGTTTTCTGAAGTTTTTTGAGTGACATCATGGTTGACAGTTCAAATAAGAAGGATATTGACGTTTGCCTTCTAGCTCTGGAAGGCTTTCAGCTTCCCGCCCCTACTACAACCGAGAATAAAAAATTGAAAATTGTTAAGAGAAAGAAGCAATCGACACCCGAACTTGAGTCGGTCGATCAAGTTGCTTCTTCGGAAGGCCCTGTCAGTCAGGCAACGAAGAATTCTCAGAAGACGGATGCTTTCCATCTTGGTCCAAGCATCAACATGATCGTCGAGGAAAACCTGCAAGCTGCCCCACTTATCGAAGGAACTGTGGGTGGCCAAGGGAGTTCAAAAGCAAAAGTTTTGTAGATATTCCTCCACCCCTACTGCAGAAAAAGGATGGAGATCTCGAGGCACAAGGAACAGACGAATTTTTTGTTACCCTTCTTACTTAAATAGATGTTTTGGTATGTAAACTTTTTTTCTGACTTTGACAGTCTTTAATAATTCATTGACATTATTCTTAATGTAGATGAGTCGGCTGCGCCAGAGAATCGTAATAATGGCGGGCTATCCAAGAATATCATCGTTGATTCTGCTTCAACTCCTGCGACTGAACCGCAGAATCCAGCCATCACATCTCTTACATCGATCGACGAGTGTGTGTATCGGTTGATAGACCCATTCAACAGCTCCCAACAAGAACATTTAGAGAGCCTGCAGCTGTCCTTCGGTTTGATGGAGCATTGAATGAATGATATGGCTAGCCCTTCAACAAAAGTGATCGAGAAGGTTGTTGATATGCCCTTGCAGAGGTTGCTGGCTCGCTATGCGAGGTTGGAGGCAAGGATATCTGCGCTTCAATGTGAATTGAGCGATGCATTGGCTGAGTTAGGGCCCATTCGCGAGTCTACCTTTTTGAGTAAATTTCACTAAGACGTCGACCGAATTGAGCAAACTAGGTTAAACGGGGAGTTGGTCTTCCGAAGGATGCTTTAACAGGGGTATGCCTCAGCTGAAGCGGCGGAAGATCCTTTTATTAAATTGTTTCTTTGAAAGTTGTAATAATGTCATTTGTAATAAATAATAGTTAATATAATGTGAAATGATGCTTTGTGTGATACTTATCTTTTCAAGACGCTTCAACTTCCGCGCCCATCTATAAAGAGGGCTTGAGGTTGTTGGTTTATTTTTTTTTGCTTTCTTACTCCTTTGAATTCCTTTTTGAAATCTTTGCTTGCGATCTTTCGATGGCTCTGAGTATTCTCCTACTCTCTTCGGACCCTATCCTTGCCATCGACACAATTTTTCTGACTGCGGCAGATGTGAAGTGCAATAATCGTACGTCTTCGACAAGAGCATTGTCCTGCGATAAGTTCGGGAGTTTGATCTATTGACCGATGATTTCAGCCCGGTCTTGACCTTCTACAGGGATCGGTTCAAGTATGGTCTGCGACTGCAGAGCATCTTTAATCGGTACAGAGTTATCCCATGCAGGTCCTCCCAAACTCAATTGCTACCATTATGACCTTCGTGGTCTTATGCCGCCAGGAGGACATTCCTCTATCAACGGACATGTCAATCACTTTTAGAGCGAGGTGGACCTGCCAAGCGGTCGTTCGACCACAAGGCAAAATCGACTGATTGACCATCAGCCAAGCGCTCCAACAGAGTGACCAGACGAATTTAATCGATCGAATAGATCCCTAGTAGGAAGTGATTTGATGAGTCAACATTGTTAATCAACCTCGAATCACCGACGATCAACAAACTTCATATTTTCTTTGTATTATAATGTAATTTTCATTCGACAGAAAAGTCGACTCAATTATGGGTATTCATATAATTGTTCCCTCCTTTTTATGTAACTATATTTTGAGAGCCCTACAAATATGTGATCAAGACATAAATGAAGACCAGAGTATTCTCTCTCACTCGATTCTATCTCTTTCTCTCTTAGCTCTAACTTGCGAGATGTGTTTACGGAGAGACAATTTAGATTCAACATCTAAAAGGTGGTGCGGTGAGCGTGGACATGCCATAAATGAGAAGCATAGCACATTACGAAGGTGAATCACAACAAAGAGACACGACATCGAAGTAGTTCACTAATCAGTGAATCGAAAGATACAACGACGAGTCTCAGAATTGTGGGAGCAAATGATGGCCCAATTTAAGACCCTTTGAGAAGAACTCTTTCGAAGAATGATCAACCACCACTTCTACAGATGGGGGCTTGGGAAACTCACCCTCCACTTCTAGAGATGGGGGCTTAGGAAACTCGCCCTCAAGGTGTTTCCCTGGAGAATCCGCCAGTGTCCAACAGATGCATGAGCAATCATATGACCGAAGGGTAAGGAGATTTCCAGCACGTGGACAACACTGTCACGCCGATAGTTAGGCATCGGGTAGAACATGTAGAAACACATGTTCAGCGCCCCCCTAACAGTGATTTCACTAAACATACCATGGAGGCAGTACCACCGACAAAGTTAAAGATTCTACATTTGGATTCTTACATGGGGAAGAATGATCCGACCGATTATGTAGTTTTTTTCAAATCATTGGTCGGAGTACTGCAGATCAATGACGCAGTGAAGCGTCGGATTTTCTTGACGACATTGAAGGAGCCAGCTCTTCAAAAGTCACCAGTTTGTGTTATTCCAACCTTTGTTAAGTTCAAGAAACACTTTGTGGTTCATTTCGCCGATGTATAGAAGACGAGAAAGAAGCCTTGGGCTCTGCTTCAAGTAAAGCAGGGAGAGAACTAAAGCTTGTGGACTTACATCACTCAATTACAGAAGGTGATGCTCAAAATAAATGATTTACAACCTCTGATTGTCCTTGCTGGTTTGGCACAAGGAGTAAGAGATGGGCGATTCAAGTGTGACTTGAGCTTGCTCGAACCAAAGTTTTTTTCCCAAACTGTTAGAGATGACCAACAGTCACATTGTTGACGAGGAGACTCTTACTGGCCCCTCTCGTGCCAAAACCAAAATCGTCTGACCATCGATTAAAGAAGAGGAAGGTGCAGAACAAAGGACAAAAGCCAAAGGGTAACCAAAATCCTGTTGATCATCCGTGTTATAACAACAATCAACGACACATGGATAACCGAGGCAACAACAAAGGTAATCAGGGTCAAAATCAATATTTTGACCAGTGACAGTCTTGGATTACGAGCGTCCGCACATATATCGGGAGATGCAGGGTTTGACTTCGTTGAATGTTTCGATGGTTGAGTTAGTTGAAGTCATACGAAACAAGGAGTACTTCAGGAAAGCCCCTTCGATGAAGGTCGAACCTGCCCTACAGAATTTACATAAGTATTGTGATAACCATCGTGATCACGGGCACGACACAAAGGAGTGACGTCATCTGTATAACTTGGTGGAAGAACTGATCAAGGCTGGGAAACTTAAAGAGTTTGTAGTTATCGGGGGACATACATGGCGATAGAGAAATGTCCCATCTGAGGAGCCATGAACGGACCCGTCAAGGTGAATGAAGTTCATATTGTCGGATTATTCTGACCATCTTTGGGGGAGGTGGAGAGTCATCTCATTGGTCTAACCGTAGCAACTAATAAGATAATTTTAAATCTGTTAAGGAAGAAAGTTAAAACAACGAAAGAAAACTAGACGGATTTGCTACTGTCAGTACTTTGGGCTATTCGAACAATACCTTCGACGGCGATTGGTCAAACACCATTCATGTTGACTCATGTGATGGCGGCAATGTTGTGTCGAATAAACCATCATAGCCAAAAGGTTGTCACAACTTTTTCATTCATACAAGAGAATCTGGCCAAATGGTAGGAAGCTAACAATGAGGGGGCAATGCTAGCTCTCGGCCTCACGGAAGAAAAGCGAACCAACTCAACTCTTCAATATAAAGAAATGAGTAGACGAACCGCTTAGTACTTCAACAAACATGTCTGAGAGAAAATCTTCATTCTAGGAGATTTAATACTTTCTTTTAATTCTAAAGAAAGTCGACTCAGTTGCTCGTCGACAAGCGGTCAGCAAGCTGGACCAAACATGGAGCAACCCGTACATAATCAGCCAACGAATATCTCTGGGGCTTACAAGCTGAAGATTTATGCAGGGAAAGAACTCTCTCGGACATGGAGCATAGATGATTTTATTTCCTTAAAAAATTTTCTTATGTACATGCTAAAAGGAGTATCGTTTCCAGCTTGTAAACAATTGATTTATCAATACAATGGAATTTAAATTTGGCTAAC